TTTCTTTCTTTCTTTCTTTCTTCTTTCTTTCTCTCTCTCTCTCTCTCTCTCTCTTTCTTTCTTCTTTCTCTTTCTTTTTCTTTCTTTCTTTCTTTCTTTCTTTCTTTCTTTCTTTCTTTCTTTGTGGTGCTGGGGACTGAACTTAGGACCACTTGCCAGGCAGGTACTTATGCACCTGACCTACCTCCCTGCCCAAAAGAACCTTGAGAAATTTTCTTGTCTTGTGTGGGTTTCCTGAATGGGAAAAGGCTTGTCTTTAAGTTGTAGTGTTTTTCTTAAAAAATTAAATCATGATTTCCTTGTCTCGTTTTTACCAACTATTATATTGTTCTCTATGCTATCTCAGTATGTTTCTCTTGTTGCTGAAAAGAGAAATATACACAGAAAAATCTCTTAAAGGACACACAGGAATTTATAATAGTGGTTGCTTAGGGGGAATGAAACTGAAAATTTGAAATGGAAAGGTGGCCCAGTTTTCATTGAATAATTGTACCTTCTAAAAATGACTTGTAACTTTTAGGTTTCAATGGGCCTCATATTCCATTTCTGGTTTCCATTGTCTCATACTGAAAGCCATATACAAGTTATATTTAATTAGCATCACCTTATTGGTGAGGCCTTGGGGTTTAGAAAGGCGAAGCGGCTTGCCTGGGGGTCACCCAGGTGCTGTCCAGTTCCATCGTCCCTAGAGATCTGCACATAAAAAGCAAGGTTTACTGCACTCAGTAGAGGCGTGTATGCTTATGGTGTAGCACTTGCTAAAGCTCAAGTCCATGTTTTAGGAAAGAATCAAATATTTTTAACCTCAAAAATAAAGTAATAAATAGGTATTTTTTTCTAGAGTGTATTTCTCCCAATTTCCAAGTGTCAGGGTATTAGTTCAAATTCTGAAAAGGCTTCCTCATTTTCCTTCAACACTGCTTAATACAAAGAATCCTGAGTGTGGCAGTTGGTCAGAGGAGCCGGAGCAAGGTGGTCAGCACCAGCACTGGGTCCCAGAAGCAGCAAGTGAACTAAACTCAAAAACTTGGAAAATCTTAGTTTGGTTCTTATAATTTCAAAAGACAAGAAGACAAAATCCCTTGTCACTTCTCATTTTACTGCTGGGTTAAGTAGCTTTGCCATAAGAATGATATTAAGATAACTTCAGAAATAAACGTAAGGGTTGGTTAAGAGCTGAGTCCAAATCAGATTTACTTGTAGATAACTCTTATATACCTGTAATACTGCTAGATTTCGCTGAAAAGATAATCTGTAATGGGACTTCATCTCTGTACCTTGCTCTCTCTGTCTGCCCCTCTCTCTCCTAACTATTGATTTTGTTCTGGGACATTTAGGAAGGGGCTATAAAGATTAAGAGCTTCTCTCAGTCACTTTATCTCTGACTACCTATCACTTGTGTTCTCCCTAGAGAACATGTATTATTACACGTGGAAATGACTATAGAGGTTGTGGAACTGGGCTAGGGATAGTCTTTTTTAGCAGGACACATATGCATTTAAGGACATTAAATAAAATGAATAACTCTAAAATTTTATACCTGTCATTTTTTTGAAAGCTGACATTTTGGAGGACATATTAATTTAGGCAGTTTTGATAGTTTACATTTACCAGGAACTTGATATAGATGCCTTTGTCATTTTTAGTAAAATTTAAAATGGTTTCAAAGGGCACGGTTCACGAAGTGCATTAATGTCACAATGAAACGTCATGCTTTCTAGATACTTGGTGTATGCTTAGAAATTCAAAATGCCATCCCAGAATTCTAGACTCTGTTGCCAGTGAAAAAATCACAGTAAGTTATTGATTTGTTCAAGATCAAATCTTGGACTTGCAATAAATCCCAATCAGTTTTTTTAAATGCTGCTATGTAAATAATACATGACTCAAATTCATACAGTGGGAGTACAGAAGCCACTGTATTGATTATTTTAATATTAATCTCTGGAGAAAATGTACAAAAGTATTTTGTAAATCTTACCACAACCTATGGTAAGAAATACACTAAGAATTGCATATCTATGGGCCCCGGGAGATAGCTCAGTAGAATAAGCACTTTCCTGGCAAGCACAAGGGCCTGAGTTCAATCCCTGGTTCCAGGAAAAAAAAAAAAAGAATTACATATCTCCATATGTATATAAAAGTAAAACAAATTTTCAGAGACAATGTGGATCTTGCCTTATTTAAGGAGAGCTCCAGAAACCCTCATCTTAAGTCCCATTGTTACTCTGAGTGAAAATCCAGGGTTATTTTTAAAATATCATCTCACATGATTGAGTGGGTTTGAGCTAGAAATAAAAATGATTTGGTAGATCAGAATAAAAAATGATTGGAAGTCATATAAAAACACTTGATCTCAGAAAACTAGGAAATACCTCAGAGGTCCTGTTCTTTCCTTAAGGGGGGATTAATCTAATCAGTCTTTTTAAACAGAGACAAAATAAGTCTCTTATTGAAATGAGTCGTTCCTCCTAGTGTTTCACGATATTTTTTTGAATAAACTCTTAATGTCCCACATGTTTTATTTAACCAATTAATCCTTATTTCAAAACCTGGAAACAAACAGTTTTTTCAAGGTCACCAGGGCATGGGACTAAGCAAGGATCGTCACTTCCCAGGGGCAGTCTGCCTCTGTGCCATGCATGGCTGGGCACTTCATGACCACTGTCCCGAGAGCACACAAACTATAAAGCACGCATCTGTGACTTGGTGATGCTCGGAGCTGGAGGCCAAGGTGGCCCCCACCAAGGCTGTCTCCTGTCTCGCGCAGCGTGGTCCCCATGCAAGGCTGCCTCATGTAGAGTGGCCCCACCAAGGCTGTCTCGTGAAGCATGGCCCCACCAAGGCCATCTCATGCAGTGTGGCAGTGTTATGAGTGTACCGGTCTCCTACATGAGAAAAACTGGAAATAGTCATCCACCAAGGTTGACTGTACAAACAATGGGAAAAACGATTAATTTAAAAGTGCTCATTTAAGTCAAGGCACATGCCTCTAGGCCTGGCGCTCTTTGTATGATTGCTGTGTTCAGAGACATTTTCCTGAACTTGTTGTGTACATCAAAATCACTGGTTCTGCATTCTAGAGCTCCGTGACCTCTATTCTTCTTAGCATTCAGCACGAGTTTTAATTTTTTACTTTATTTTTGTGATTATGCAATCTATGAAAGTCTCTTTTCTTTTGCACGTCCTCACTAGACTCCAGACTTAACACAGTTATTCTTTGTTTAATCTCAACATTATTGTATGACTGTGCCCTCAGCACTCGCACTCAGTAAATCTTTATTGAATGGATACACTAGCATTTAAGGATCATTCATCTAAGTTCATGTTCTCTTTTTTTTTCTTCCTCTCTTCCTCCTTTCTCCTATTGTTCAGAACTTTATATTGATTAGCTTCGAAAGAGGAATTGATAATCACTCCTAATGTTGTCCATTTTTATTGTCTTTCAGTCAATTTTGACCACTTTGAAATTTTGCGAGCCATCGGAAAAGGCAGTTTTGGGAAGGTGAGCATTGCGTTGATTAACTAGCTGCAGAACAAAGGGCCTGAGGTGGTTCAGGCTCGTGAGTTACTGGGACCACAAGGACTGATGATTTAGAGATGCTTTTGTAAAGAATTTTATATAACGGTCACCACAAATTGAGGCTACATGATAAGTATATACTGTTCTAAGGATTACTTTATTCAAGGCAAACCTATTTGCTTTCACTAAAGTTTGAGACTTCTCTCTACTCTAAAGGACTTGGGGATCTCAGAATCATTTTTGAACAGTACTACCTCTAAATCCAATGATTGTTATCTTTTCAATATAAAAATACTTTTCATGTGGGAAAGATACCTGATTTCAGTTTCCATTTCCCAAATCTTAATAGCGTTTTTTCAAAAGCTTACCATTAAAAACATACGTAGCCAGATTTTTGATAAAAAAAACTTCCAGAGTCAAACCCTAATTGTCAGTTTTTCAGTGGAGAGCATATTATGTAGCAAATTTGCATTTAATGTCATCAGGAATTGTATGGCCTTCTCATGGAGTGTCAAGAACATGGACATCAGGGGTGTGGAGACAGCTCGGTGGCATAAGCACCTGCCTGGCAAGTACAGGGACCCAAGTTCTAACCTCAGCACTGCATGCCATGCCAGCTGTGAAACCAGGGATGGTGTACACTCCTATAATCCCAGCACTAGGCAGGCTCAGACAGGAGGATCACTATGAGTCTGAACTCTGTAGCAAGACCCCTGTATTTAAAAGAAAGGAAAGAAAAAAAGAGAACATAGGCATCATTTCTGGTGCTCCCTGGTGCTTGGAGTCTACATCAGCACACCACCAGGGGTAAGAACAGAAACTGCAGTATTTTTCACCTTGACTGCTTAGGTTTTCTGCTGCAGTCATCTGACATAAGATTAAGAATGTTATTTAAGGACTCCTGATGTGAAGGCAGGATTTAATGCTCTCTTGCAACATTCTAGCTTCAAAACCAGGCAAACATATTTCAGAAACCAGAGATTCCAGAACTGGTGCCTGGTGCCTGGGGAAGCAAATGAAAATTTTACTCCAAAATCAGTGAATTTGAAAATAATGAAGCAACCACACCTTGCTAAAGAGTGAGGCCTAGTGTTCTCAGGGCTCTCGTTTGTCATTTCCCTAATCACTTGTTTACCTGGCGTTGCGCCATTAGGTCTGCATTGTACAGAAGAATGACACCAAGAAGATGTATGCCATGAAGTACATGAATAAACAGAAATGTGTGGAGCGCAACGAGGTGAGGAACGTCTTCAAGGAGCTGCAGATCATGCAGGGCCTGGAGCACCCTTTCCTGGTGAATCTGTGGTAAGTGATTTGGCTGGATCTCTGAAAGGAATCATTCTTATCTGTGTCCTCAAATGCCATAACAAATGTGCATCATGATGTCCAGGTCTACTGTTGCAAAATACTTTTTAGGGTCTTCCTCAAAAGCTTTGGTCTCACTGATTTGATTGGAGACCAGTAAAACAGGTTACCAATAAAAACCAATATACCTCACTTCATTCTTCACCATTCCCTTACTCAAATTTTTCAAAACATTGTACCTAAATAGGCTGAAAAGGAGTAGGACAGATGCCTTGTCACTCATTAATTTTTTTTTTCCTCATAAACTGTGGAGTAGGGATTTTAGGTGTAAAATATTGTCTCAATGGGTAATGTGAGGTTGATGTTTAGAATTTGACTGTCTTTTCCTTTTTTTTTTTTTTTTTTTTTTTTTTTTTTTTTTTTTTTTTTTTTTTGCGATGCCAGGGATTGAACTCAGGACTTTGCACTTGCCAGGCAAGTGCTTAGATGCTTAGGATTTGTACAAGGCAGTTTTTCCCTAAAATGATTGTCAATAAAGCTGATCTCTCTGAAGTATACTTAAGTAAGTACAGATTTACCTGGGACTTGACAAAGGATGTGTGCTCCTTTTCTCATCCAAAAGTTCTGAACAGAAGCGGAACTAATTTATGTCAGTAGCTAGACATCAACTTACTTGACCCATTCTCAAAGCCATTACTATAACTCCAGGCTTAGAAAATGACAAAGAAGCTTACATCTGTTACTTCCAGCTTTTTTCTTGTGTGTTGAGATCCTTATGTTTCTCCTTCATTAGGCTGGCCAAATAGCTCAGCAGATTAAAGTGTCTAGGCAGATGCAGGGGCCAGGAGTTTGATCCCCGGGCCTGTCATGCCAGTCCTGCCTCTGGGGCGCACTGAGATTGCAATTAACTCTGAGCATGGTGGCGCATACCTGTAATCCCAGCTCTTGGGAGGCTGTAAACAGGAGGATCACTACAAGTCCAATCCATATAGTGAGATTCTATAGACCCTTCCATGAAATACAAAAAAAAAAAAAAAAAAAAAAAGTTTCAGTCTCTCCTTCATTTTGGTCTGCATTGTAATGCATGCATTATGCTAAGAGCCAGTTCCTAAAGCTAATGCAGTACGCATGTTATTTAACTATGCATATTAAGCAGTTCTTCCTTACCAGGAAAGGCAAAAATAAGTCTTTATCCAGCGAATGCTAATGGAGAAATAATTGAGATCACTGTGTGTTTAGGGACATCTTTCTGGAGGAATCAGTGCATCAGACTCACCTCAATCCATCTTTAATTAATACAGCTCACTTATTATACAATACACTCAAAGCCTCTGCGCCACCGTTGAAAAGAAGATGGTTCTGTGCAACGTGGAAATAGATCTATTGTCGTTTATGTGCTATTCAGACACGGTGAGAGTCTAATTTTGGCTCAGCCCCAGTGTACTTAATCATCATGCTAGAGTAGCCTATTCAAAATCCTGCCATGTAAAAAGTTCAAATGGATACAGCTCTGTCTTTCTTAGCCATCATCACGTCATTTTTCTCCTCTCTACCTGCACCCTCGCAATGACAGTGTGCTGTCACGTCACAGCCTCCCTTTGTTGAAAGTCATATTTCTTTTTTTTTTTAATTCAATTTTAAAAGTTACTTCTTATCTTAAGGCCAAGAATTCTTCATGAGAATAGACATAGCACTTTGCTCCTTGGGTTTGTCTCTCATTGCAATGTGGCCAAAGTGGGTTTCGTTCTATTCTTGTGTTATTTGGAACCTTTAGCCTGTGTTTGAACCTTTAAGATGCAAAGTTTAGAAATTTATTCACAATTTTGGTGACATACCAGACAACATACTGTTTTTCTTATATGTTGGTACCGTCACACACACACACACACACACACACACACACACACACACTCATACACACACACACACTCATACACACACACATTCACACACATACATTCTTTCCTTGTTACACTCCTCATACTTAATCTCACAGTGAAACCCTGGGCACCCTGAGTTTTTCTTTCTTGTTCCATGAAGGTAGAGAATTCTGAACATGTCTGTCACCAGCGGGCCATTGTGGCTGTCCCAGAAAATTTGAAGGCTATTCCAAAGCATCTCAGGAAGATGTATGAAAAGGGTCTTCAGGTCATTCTCTGTCACAGCCTGTGCTATTTGTTTTCTTTTCTACCCTCATTTTGCAAATTAAGCATTCTCCAATATAGTTACACAATTTAGTTAATATTCATGCCTTGGACTTAACTTATATTTACCTGTACAACCCCCAAAATCTGTAACTCAGTTTTTAAGGAACACTATAATTTATAGCACAACAGCCATATGATTTTGCCACCTGCCTCTTTGTGTGCTCTATTTTATAAGTGTGTTTGACAGTCCTCTCCAGATAGCTTTGGATGATCTTTCCATCCATGCTGAAAGTGCCCCCAGCCTCGGGGCCCTTGGGATGTGCTTAGGAAACTCCAGCTCCAGGCTGGGGATGGGGGACATAAATTCTGTTTTAAGTAGAGTGTATGCGTTTGTGTATGTGTGTGCGCGCGCGCATGCATGCATGTAAATATGTGACATTTGAAAACTACTTATTTTACTCAGCTTGAAAATAAGAAAACATCTCATAGGAAAATGAAAATTCTTCCATAATCATATAGCTCTGAAGCAATAATTCCTGACATATTGGTGTGTGCTTCAATGTCTGCATATGGTTTCCTGATTTTAATCATGCCTGAGTCCTATCCATTTCTTCCTTTGTGTGTATATCTACTGAGTATAAAAAATAAGTTGCTATTTAGGGTTGCCCTTTAAAATATAGGATGCACAGTTATATTTGGATTTTAGATAAAAATAACTAAATATCATATAACACGAGATTTACTGAAGGTTATTCATAGTTTCTCTGAATTTCAAATTCAGCTGGGTCCCTGGTACTATTATTTGTTAAAGCTGGTCATTCTAGGGCTGGCCAGATAGCTCAGCAGACTTAAGTGCCTGCTTAGACAGGTGCAATGACTGGGGTGTGATCACCGGAGTGCTGTGCTGGCCCTGCCCCTGGGGCACACTGAGATGGCGATCGAGACTGAGCGTGGTGGCTGAAAACAGGAGGATCGCTCTGAGTCCCATCGGTGTAGTGAGAGCCTGGAGACCCTGTACTAAGTACAAATAAATAAATAAAACTAGCCCAGAGGTGTAGTGCATGGAAATAGTAGTGAGCAGGAGCAGGCAGAGACCCGCGTCAGCCTGTGTTACTATTGACTGGGAGAGAGAGTAACCTTAGTTAAACCGCACAAGAGTATGAAAGCCATGAATATACACAAAAGGAAGACACGTGGAGCGCCCTGTGTGGGGGGGCTCACGTGTATCCAGGGAAGAAGCTTGTCAGTATGGAGCATGCCTGTAAAGAAGGGAAGAGCCTGCACAAGTAACATCCAGCCATTCGAGCTTCCGCAGACCTGGCCCAGCTCGGGAACACAGTGTTCAGATATAGTCCACGTTATCAAGTGGAGGCTGCCAGACAGGGCTGGCATCTGGGAAGAATAAATAAAATCTTCCTTCCAGTCCCTCCCTGAGGGCTGTTAACAAAGCCCAGGCAACCCCCAGCCTGAGAACAAGTCTGGTCCCAGTGATGCCCAGCCCAGCCCAGCCCAGGCCCCAGGTGGCTTTTGTTAATTGAGATTAAGCCGCAGCTGTGCAGAACTCCTCTGGGCCTCTCTCTGTGTACCTGTGTCCCTGGCCCAGTGAGCAGAAGGGCTCCATGCATGACTTCATCAAATTAGAAGACAAGATCAGCCGTCTGAAGTGGGAGTATTCAAAGCCTCTCAGGTGGCTGAGCACAGCTCTGGAAATGAGTTCCCGGAAAGCTGACTTGCACGCTGGGTCTCAGTGCCCACTTTACTTCATGGAATCACAGCCTGCAGTAACTCAGGCAGGTTGTAGAGCCACAGTATCAATAATTATAACTTCCAGGAATAGCATCCTGGTACTGTGGGCTTTAAACATATTATACCCTTGATTTGTCCTAAGAAGCTTGTTGGTCCCATTCTAAAGCCAGAGAAACTGAGGCTCACTCAAGGAGGCTCAGGGCTGTCCGCAGTTTCATAGAGAGCAACTGAGAGAGCCAGGACTCAATCTCGGGAATTCAGACTTCAGAGCCAGTGTCCTCCCCCGCTTCTGCACGAGGCTGTCTCCTAGTAGTTTGCTTGGATTCTTGGTATTTACAATCATGCTGCTTATGAATGACAGTTTTACTTTTTCCTTTACAGGACTCTTACCTTTTATTTTCATGCCTGTTGCATCTGTAGTAAGAACAATGTCCAGTGAAAGCAGGGACAGTGACATCTTTGTTGGTGAGAAGGCTTTCAGTATTCCAAGATTTCATGAGGTTCTGAGGATTCTTGGTACACATCCTTTGTTACAATAAGGATGTTTGCCTTCAGTCTAGTTTTTCACATGAATGCGCACTATAGTTTATTAAATACCTTTGCTTTTATCTATTGAGATGAGTTCTATTGTGTGGTGAAGGACACTGATTTGGAAATAATGAAGCAACCTGGATTTGGAGAAATAAATTGAATTTTACTATGTTCTGCTTTCCTTTTGTATGTCACACTGGTTGCTATAATATATATTTTTAAAGATTTATTTTACTTAATATATTTAATTTCTATCATTATTTATCCAGTCGATTATTTATATAATATGAATATATATTTATGTATTTAAAAAATGTGTATAAACACATTTGAAGGACAAAGAGGATGAGCTGGTTAGTGGAAGGAAATGGTAAGGTAGTAGAGAAAGTGGCGGGTGCCAAGTGGGGTCCTACAGAGGCGAGGCGGGGGAGCTGAGTGTCCAGGAGGAAGAGCCGGCCTCGTTTCCTCTTTTCATCCCCTTTATTGCCCCCTCTGCCTCATCTTTCCTTCTCTTGATCCATTTCCATTTTAGGAATTTTATCTCCCCACTTCCTAGTCTCTATGTTTCTGCTCTTC